TTTCATGCGTTATAATAATATAATATTATATATTATTAATATATTATTATTGATAATAATAAAATAATAATTTATAATACGTTATCATAACATAACCGACATAATTAGCCGATTATATTTAGAAAGTCAATATCAATTGTAAGAGAGTTGATAATAATTTCTTCTTCTCTTTTATTTCTAGCGAATCAATTTGCAGAATTTGTAATCTTTTTCCATTTAAAGTGCTATTTATAAAATGTGACATCAAAAATTATAGCGATCGACGTTATGAATTATGGTCATATTTTTACTGTAACATTATTTGCAGAATTGGCTTGGCTATATAACATGTATTCTCGTCACACATTTAACATTAAATCGGATAATGCTATTTATCTCATGACCCTGAACGCAATCTTCGTATCGGGCGATTAAAATTTGGAATTGGACGTCCGCATTTAGCACTAAGAGTGGCGCTAAATAAAGTTGTGACGTATTAGAATCTAGGTCTATTCGTAATTTAAACGAAATAGACAGGCAGCAAGATGATAATAGTTCAATGCAAAGCAGTTATTCAAAAATTAATTTTTTGAAGCGTAAAAATTAAGTTTTAACTTTTAAGCTGTAAGAAATTGATCAATCATAGTCGATTATTTTCTTCACATTTGATTTATGGTCAATTTCTGATTTGAAATTTTTAAGTCTTAAAATGTCATTATAGACGCCGTTTAAAAGGTTTCATCGATTTAATGTATGCGATCGTTAAAAGATGATTATTTACGATACGGTATGCGAATGAAACCAGCACGTTTATGCGTAATTTGTCTCGGGAAATGTTAATTAAAGCATTTTCGAGCTCGAGCGTGACGGTGCAATTAGGGCCACGTGCCAGCGACTGCAAAGTGTTCGCAGACTGTTCGAAAACTCGTTCATACTTCAACCGTATATAAATAATTCTCTCTTAGTATGTCTGTCTTGCAAAATTTAACCGATTCAAATATATTGACGCAAATACTGTTGACAAAGTACAATAATTTAATATCGTTTTCGCGATGAAATATGTTCTTGGCAATTTAAGCATCTTCCACAATGTGAAATTATGATTGAAAATATGTATATAGACATTGAAAAGTTGCGAGTAAACATATTTGAAGAGAACGCTTTTAATTTAATTATTTTATTTGAAGTATAAAACAAAAGTAAGTATAATGAAAAAAGATTAACACCTTTACAGTTTTTTTAATAAAATAATCCGATGAGAGAAATAATCAACAAAATGTTTATAATAGAAAAGAATAAAATTTCCAGTATCATTATTAATACAAATTAATTTTATATACGTGTACAGTTTTTTATTCATAAAGTTTATAATAAATTATCATTTTATTAATTAATTGCAGTCGATCGTTTTAAGATCATTTCTAAAATCTCAAACTCAAGAATACGGGATAGAATATGAATTATCTCCTTGTAAATTATATTTGTC